TGTTACTAATCTCACATGACTCCCTCAAAATGGATGGCAACACACTGTGCGCTGATAACATAGTCTGAGATGCTCTTGAACAGAAAACCTCTTGAGGACTCAAATTCTCAAGGACTCTTCCTACGCTAACATTCCTACTGCAAGATACCCACAGAGCTCTTCCCATTCCAAACAATAAGATTTCTGGATAAATTGCAATCACTTTTTTTTAATATTTTATTTTATTTTTAAATTTTTTTAAGATTTATTTATTTATTTATACAAGCACTGGGTACAGTCAGAAGCACGGTAGGGTGAGAGAATTCACCAGAGCCAGAGCGGGGAGCAGAGCAGGCAGAAGGACCGAAGTACACTGCTGAGGGGAGCAGCGGGCGGCAGGAGAGGTCTGTGCGCCATGTGGGACCCTCCTCAGGTGGCCGGGGAGCAGCCGGGGATGGAACCCGTGCTGCAGAGGCTGCGGGCAGCTTCACAACCCAGCGCTCAACCGCTGCGCCACCAGGGAGGCTCCTGCAGTCACTTTTTAAAACATAAATAGCTTTGAGAAGGAAATACCTAGGAGCCCAGAGAGACGATGGAATCCAAAACTAGAGCAATCAGTGCATGAGATGACATCAAGGAAGTCCTGGGGACACTGTACCCAGACATAAGTCCTTGCCACCGGTTGACATTTTAGTCTCTATACAAGGACACATAATGTGAATGAGCATTGACACCAGGCTTGGAGCCAAAACCAAGGCCTCTGCTTCAGACCAGAAGCCTGGGACAGCCTGCCCTTCTGTGAAGAGAAGTATAATGCCACACAGCGGCCTGAGGGAAGCTGTGTTCAGTGCACTTTGTATGTAAAAGGGGGTCTCCTTTGAGAAAATAAAGCCCCTGCAAAGGTACAAATTCCAAATTTGTACTTGCACATGGTATGAGAATCCCAAGCCCAGATATTGGTGTAAAATGGCTTCCAAATAGAATGGACTCCTTGAGAATTGTGACAGAAGCAAATGTAATGTCTCTTTTGGGGGACACTTTCATAACCCAAGGTGCAGGGAACAGGCAAAGAAAGAAGGTGCCTCGCTGAAGATGGGCTTATAACAGAGCATTACAAACCACAGGAAGGGAGGGGCCTCTGTCAGGGGAGTGAGGACACAGTGAGCTTATACTGAAATACAATTTAGTATACCCTTTATATTATTAATTTAGCATTGTCATTCTCCCATGTCCTCAAAACTTAGCATAAATAAAATTTAAATGGTTGCATATTTTTCATCATGGATATACCATTTATTTTATAATTCTCTTCTTATACATATTTACATTGACTCCTTTTTTATTATAACTTTGTGCCTAAATCTTTGTATATGGAATTGATTCTGTCCTTAGATTATAACTAAGATTTTTTAAAATCAAAAAACAAACCTTGGGGCCTCCCTGGTGGCGCAAGGGGTTAAGCACCACACTATGAAGCAATCCTGCAGCCACTGCAGCACCAGTTTGATCCCCGGCCGGCCAGGGAGCTACCCACATGGTGCAGCAGACCTCTCCTGACTCACCCACTGCTCCCCTCAGCAGTGTACTTCGGTCACTCTGCCTGTTCTGTTCCCCACTCTGTCACTCGTCTCGGTGAATCCTCTTACCGCCCCCCCCATCTCTGGTCTGTACCCCAGCTCTTGTGTGCATAAATAAATAAATCTTTAAAAAAAAAAACAAACCTTGATTTTTTTTTTTCAATTAATTTATTTGATTTTAATTCAACAAAGTATATTGAGTTTCTAGTATGGGCCAGGTAACTTTTTCTAGTTATTTTGTGTGTTTCTCTCTTATTGCAAAATCAATGCATGCACTATAGAAAATCATCATGTGCACACTCAAGTTCATGTGTGTGAAAGAGGAAGCATGAGGAAATTCACCTGTCTTCTGTATTTATCTTATAGGATCTCAGCCAGGAAAAAGAAAACTCCAACTAGGAGAACATTTGCTGGGCAGGTTAAAAATTTTCAAAACAAGTTTACTGGTTAGAGGTAAAGATGATAGTGTTTTACTTCATCTGATCTTTAGGATATGTTTGCACTAAACCATTAAGGCCTGTTAGATTACCTCCTTCCCAGACGTTCTTCCTGTTATAATTCTAGGATTTGATGACAACTTTTGTAGCTACATTCGAAAAGTACATAAGCTTACTAAAATATCTATTCCACCAAAATATAAATCTATCAGAGCCATGTTTACAAACTCCAGCTCTCTTCACATATTTCAAGTAAGGGAAACAATACCGGCCTTGTGGGTCCAATGGATCAAATTTATCCCTCAGCAATAATCTCCCAGAAAAATCTACATTGAAAGAGTTAAATTGAACCTACTTCAAATAGGCCAACATGTGAATTTCTGTCTCATACCCATAGGTGGATATGTTATTTTGCTTCTCTGTTCAAGTTCTGCAAGGGCGGAGAAAAGAATTTAAAAGTCCTGTGAGAGTCTGGAAATATAATAAATATTGTAAATGGGGGTAGAGCACAGCGGATAGTAAATTCATGTTATTAAATTCTCTGTTCCTGTGTGGGTTCTTCTAGCACAGAGTTCTCACTCTAAGGGCACGAAGTATGGTTGTTTGCACCCAGGAGGATCTTGGGGGCATCTTTCCTGGGGAACCTGGTTGAGGACTCAAGCATTTTACATGGGCTGTGATTAGACACACATGTAAAATACAGCTGAGTGAAGTGACTTCAGAAAGAAGGAATGACCGTAGCTCATTGTAGGAAGTGACTCATTTCTCAAGAAACAAGGAAAAGTAACAAATGGTGAACATGGCTCAGAAAAATAAAACATCTTTTTTCGGTGGAGAAATAGCTTTTGCTCATTCCCCCCCCCCAACCCCGAATGGCACCAACGCCCCATTTCTGAAAGGTTTGGAATGGATGTCCGAAAGTAATTTCAGAAGCGAGAAACTGAGGGAAAAAAAAAACCAAAAAACAGGAATTACTGCAGTTTAGAACTTCAATAATTCCTCAAACAATGTTCAGTGGTAAGGAAGAGGAAACTCGAAGTGAATAGCAGGAAAAAGTACAAGTTGGTGGCATTCTACAAGAATAGTTTCCTCCTGTGCTTGCACTGTTCGCCCGTGACTTGAGCCTTTCAAACCACTGGCCTAAACAAACAACTGAAAAATCCAAGAAACGGGTGGAAGCAGGCTGTGAGGACAGATTGAGAGCCGGTCTTCCAGCCGAGGAACGCCCATAACACGTCAAATGAACACAAGGCTGCCGATGCCTTCTACGACCCGTGTCTGGAAGGTGCAACTTCTTTACATGGTTTCTGGAGTGCACACTGGAAGGTACAGAGAAAACAACGCTGAGAGTGCCGTCCCCTTCTCCAGGTGATGCATCTGATGGGCCACACGCTGCTTAGGGCTGTGTGCTTCTTCTATTTCCAGGCCTGATTCATTGGGTCTCGCTGTGCACCTCCTTTCCCCTCAGAATCACCTTTATTATTATTTTTTTAAAGATTTATTTAATTATTTATTCATACAAGCACTGGGTACAGTCAGAAGTGCAGGAGGGTGAGAGAATTCACCAGAGCCAGAGCGGGGAGCAGAGCAGGCAGAAGGACCGAAGTACACTGCTGAGGGGAGCAGCGGGCGGCAGGGGAGGTCTGCGCGCCATGTGGGACCCTCCTCTGGTGGCCGGGGAGCAGCCGGGGATCGAACCGGCACTGCAGAGGCTGCGGGCAGCTTCGCAACCCAGCGCTCAACCGCTGCGCCACCGGGGAGGCCCCCAGAATCACCTTTAGAAGGTGAACCAACATTTCCCCGGCAATGCGGTGGAAAGAGTAGGAGGTCACAGGTCAGGCAAGCCCAGGTTTTGAACCCTGAGCCAGTGGCCTGTGCCTTACTTGCCTCATTTAAAAATGGGAAAACAGTGAACTCCTCCAGGGGGAATAACCAATGCATGAAGAGGATGCCTGGCACACAAAAGCCTGAAAGAAGCAGTGGCTAGTGTTGAGCAGCCCATAGTAGGGAAGAGACTGAGCTGGGAAGCCTTGGCGCTGGCCCTGACTCTACCCAGGTGTGACCTTGCAGATCACCTCCACCCTGTATCTCAGTGTGCTCATCCCTCAAATGGGAAAACTGAGCGCATCTACTGCTATGGGGGGGTTAGTTTGAGACACGGGGAGAGGGGGAAGTATTGTGAGGAATGAATGAGTCAAAACGTGAACAGCGCCTGATACACAGCATCAGCAAATTATTATATGAATTAGCAAATTATTTTACCTAGCTCATAAGGTTGTTGGGGGATTTATATAGAACAATCCATACAAGTATTTAGCAAAACCTCTGGTTCATATTAAATATTCAGTCATATTAATGTGGTGATTATTATTACAATGATTATTAGTATTTCTAACAATGATGTGTTATTAGTAATAAGTAAGATGAGTTGGAAACTTTTTATATGTGGCTGAGAAAAGATTAGAGTTTCAATAATGTGATTAAATAGCGTAACGATGAGATAATCAAAGAAAATAAAATTTATTAGCCTTTCTGGAAATGTCTTACTTTACTACTTCCTGCTTCTTTGCAATACCAATTTCCTCAATTTTTACCATTTTGCCACCTGAGATATATTTATTTATATTAATAATATATTTATTTCTTTCAAAGTAGTTTGCGTCAGCCCCCTGGTATTCAGCTAACTGGAACTCTGGTATTTTGGAGCAGTGTCTGTTGACACAAATATATTTGGCATCACTGGGGAATTTAAAACTCCATACCGCCGTGTCATGGTCTCTCGACTCAGGATGACAGTGTAAGATTATGGAGGACAAATGTCGCTAGGAAGTTTCATGCTGTCATTTCTATACTGAGCATCTGGGCATGTTAATGTCTGGTTAGTAATGGAAGTTACAAAGATTAAATGATAAGCTTGCAAACATTCTTAACAAAGAACTTGCTATTTTGCTCAAGAACACAGGAAGGAGACTCTGGTAAAACATGCAGCGTGTCGCTTTTTACTCACCTTCTCTGTGATTTGGAGGGCATTCTGTGGGGTGTTCCCTTGCTGGCTTCAGCCCAGAGGCATATCCAATTCTCACTGAAGCTGGAAGACATGGATTCACACTTGAGACTTTGTTTCGGTCTTGCCTAGATATTTCCAGTCTCAGAAATTCTCTTATGTCTTTAACAATAACAACAACAAATTCTAAGAAATCAGAAACTCTGTAGCCTGGGAAGAACTTTTGCGGTGGAGTCTTCTGCAATAACATTTTCTTTTTCTAAGTAAAGAAGTAACATGAGGAGGCCCTTAGTGCAAATGACTAGACTTTGTCACCTTGCCCTGGCTTCGTTCGGGTTTTCATAGGGCCTTTCAGAGGTCAAGAGAGGCATAGAGGCCACCTCCATGTTAAGCCAACACAAATCGAAAGAGAAGAGAAAGAAATGTCGAAACGGGGTTACAAAACGTGTGGTCTACTTTAAATGTCAATATCTAGGGAGTAAACAATTTCAGCCCACACATGTTCTGCCTACACATTCTGCTCAATGTAATCATGCCATCCCCAAGATGACGATGGCAGGCATTAGAGAATTTATTAAAAAGATTAGTTCATTCCTCATGACAGATATGGCCTCGTAACAAGACAGAGTTAAGTTGGGTGGAGATAGGTCCTTTCTTCCAAAGCTTCTCTGTAACTATAGGTATATCCTCAGGCATTGAGTCCCTTTGCAACCTGAGTCCTTCTTAGGTCTGGTATGTCTGTATCTGGGAATGCCCAGCTTATATAGGTACAAGTATGTGAGTTTTTAGCATCGAATCTCCTCTGCAGGCCAGTGAACAGATCAGCCCAAGGGTCTGGATTGAATGCACACTTAATAATTGCATCCACTTATTTTTGCCCAGTTCTATGAGTTCATTGCTTTTTGAGAAAGAAAACCAGATTGATCCCTTGTTTCCAATGAGTAACAGTCAAAATGCAGCCTAGAGCTGGATGACAAGTAGACTCCTCTTCCCCCCTTAGAGTTAATAAGATTTGGGGGCAGGGTAGGGGAAAAAATAGACTTTGAGCAGGAGGCAAAAATCAGTACCTACGTTATTAAAGAACTGATGAAGGCCTTGTCCATAAGCAAGGAAGGCTCTGTTGCGTAAGGGGTGTCTGGAAACTACCAGAGCCTCCATCCAGAGAGGAGCACTGGCCAAAGCTTGGTGCAGCTCAACCCCAGGCTCTGTTACTGCCCACACAGCCATGATCTCTGATTTGATAGAAAGACATGAGGTTTCCAGACTGGGCAGGGTACCCAGGGCTTCCTCCCCATGCCTGGCTGGCAGTCCACTTCCCTGAAATTTCAGTTGCAGATATCAGAAGAGGCTTCCTTTTCTCTCTTCCCCATGGAGAGTCTGGAATGAGGAAATGGGTGGGGGTGGGGAGAAATAGGGAGAGAGAGAGAAAGAGCAGTAAGATGGAACCTTGGGAAATGGCAGTTGGTGCCAGCCAGCCAGGAAGACTGGAGCTGGGGTGGAGGGATCCTGAGGATTGGGATCTGGGTAGAAGACCCAGAGAGAGGCAACAGACACCGCAGAGGGGGCGAGCTAGCAGCCAAATGGCCTTAACTTGGGGGAAAAGAGGTTCTCTGAATGAGCCTGTGGGGAAGCACTCATGGAAGAGCGTGAGACTATTCAAAATGACAGTTTAGCAGTCTATCATACTGGGAGTACACGGGACAAGTGGGATGTGCTGCTCCCTAATTTACTGAATTAGCAAGAGGTTTCCACACTTTCTGACACATCTAGTCTGTGCTCTACACAGAAGCCAAAGACCTTGTATGCCAGGTCTGATGGCTCTCTAATAATTCCCTATTCCCCTTCAAATATGACCTGAAGTCCTTTCTAAGGTCTGTGGGGTCCTTAAGGACTAAGCAGTGCCCTGCTCCTGCTTCTAACCCATCTCTTTGGTTACCCTTCCAGTCCCTGCCCCCTTCAATCAAAAAGCCAAGCTCCACTTTCTGGTCTCAGCACTCACTGTATATGGTTTACACCTCTCACTTCATTCCAGACCCCTTTCTATGTTTCTGTGCCAGGTCACTAGTGCTGCCGTAACAAAGTATGGCAGACTGGAAGCTTAAGCAACAGAAATGTACTTCCTCACAGTTCTGGAGGCTGGAAGTCCAAGATGAAGGTGCTGGCGGGACAGGTTTCTTCTGAGGGCTGTGAGGGAAGGATCTGTTCCGGGCCTCTCTCCATGGCCTAGGGACGGCCACCCTTGCCTGTGTCTTCACATGGACTCCTCTCTACGGACATATGTGTCTAAGCTTTATTTTCTTAAAAGGACAGCACTCATTTTGATAAGGCTCACCCTAGTGATCCCATTTTCATTTATTTGCATTATAAAGACCCTATTTTCGCATACAATCACATTTTGAGATACTGGGGGTTAGTGTAAGAGGAATAGTGAGGAGCAGCCTCTGAGCCAGTGGGTGTTACTTTGCCAATTTGAAGGTAGAAGTTGGAGATTCCCAGACTCCAACCCCTGAGCTGGGGCTGATGGGAAGTAGGGGTGGCCTGAGGCTTTTGGCTTGAACTGCTGGTGCTTTGGCAGTTAAACTGCAGGTGAGAAGGGGTGTCTTTGGGGCAGCTGCTAGCTTGTGACCTGTAGCTTAGGCTTGGACCTTGGCTCTGCTCAGCTGACACTATCTAGATGGAATCTAGCCAAATGCCAACCTTGACTACTCCCTCTTTCTCTCATTTTCCCTCTTTTCTCACTCCTTATGTAAATATATCCTGTTATTGTTGCTTCTCACCATGGGCCTGCTTTTGGGTCATGTCCTTGAGCTCTCAGGTGAGGAAGGGGGTCAACCCAGTTCCCCTGGGGTTTGCTCTGTTTAACTAAAACTTTAACATATGGTACCTCCCAGGTGTCCTAGCGGTTAAGTCTCTGCGCTAGCACTGCTGTGGCCTGAGTTTGATCTCTGGCCAGGGAGCTGACCCACAGATAGTGCAGCAGACCTCTCCTGCCTTGCCCACTGCTCCCCTCAGCAGTGTACTTCAGTAAATCTGCCCGTTCTGCTCCCCACTCTGTCTCTAGTGAATCCTCTCACCACCACCCCTCCCCCAGCACCTCTGGCCTACATCCCAGTTCTATGCAAAAATAAAATTTTAAAAAAGTTAAAATATGATGGGGCGATGGGAAGGTAATATAGTTCAGTTCGTAAGAGCCTCTTTTCAGAGAAGTCTCCCTGACACATCTGAAATGGTGCCCCTATTAACAGACACATATTTGTTTCTTTGGTTTTGAAAGTTTCACTCTGCTTGGCCTAAAAGGAAGTATTTGTCTTTTTATCTCGATGATTTGGAAATTTCTGAACACCAAAAGAAGTCAGAGACTTGTCCAAGAGTTTGATCTTTCACATTGCTTCTGGGCACAGGACCTAGACTAGGGGGAGGTAAATAAGGCTGCAGGTGCCAAATTTAAGGGGGCACAAAAACTTGGCAAAAACTTGATATGTAATAAGCTATTTTTAAAATTATGTCTTAATAAGACAGAGTAGAGATTACAGATCTTTCCTTTGCCTCAGGCGTTATCATGGCTAAGCACAGGACTGCTTTCCAGCCCACAGCTTGAAGGTAGGGATCCTTCAATTATTCAAAACATTGCTAATTATCACTTAATTATAATGAAGTATTCACATTTTCTTGGTCCTCATAGCCAGCATTGCTCACTCTGTGATTGTTTGACCTTCAATCAAGACCCTTTAAGGAAACCAGTAAGGAATGTGTGTTTTTCTGACCCCATTTATTTTCCCTACAGACACCTAATCACAATTGCTACCTAATCACAGCCTTCTTACCCTGACTGAAGAGCCCGAGGAGCAGGTTTCTCCCGATTCTTTAATAGAAACATAAAATGCCAGCAAGCATGATTTGTACCCAAAAGAGCATTAAGCAGAGTTTGCAGATGTTGCAGGCTCTTCCCCTGATACTTCTGGGGAAGGACGCACAGACCTTGGCATACCTTGCTTCAGAAACAGATAACAGCAATAGCATGTTTATTCCATATACTTCTTAAGAGAATGGAAAAATCCTTATGTGATGGGGTCAAAAAGGGGCTTTGGTCCCAAGGAGAGAGATTCCCAGAGAGGTTTTTGTATTACTATATGATGGAATGTTTTTTAAAATTTATTTTTTATTTATTTATGCATGCAAGAACTGGGGTCTAGGCCAGAGGTGCAGGGGGTAGGGGTGTGAGAGGATTCACCAGAGACATTGGGGAGCAGAACAGGTGGATCTACTGAAATACACTGCTGATGGGGGCAGCAGGTGAGACAGGAGAGGTCTGCTGTGCCATTGTGTTAGCTCTCTGGCTGGGGATGGAACTCAGGCTGCGATGGCAATAGCTTGATCGCACTGAGACTTAACCCTTGTGCCACCAGGGAGGCCCCAATCATGGAATGTTTGTGGGTATTAGTTTATGCATGTAAAACTCTTCATGGTGAACATTTACAGGGAAATTGCTAGTTAAAAGTAACAATATAATATTTAAAACCTTGTTTTCATGCTGTGGGTTCATTTTATATAGAATACCTCATTTGCTGCAAACAAGTATACTAAGTTGTTCTATCAAAGGAATTTCTAGAAATGTGATATTCCTAGCATGTAGATTTTAGGAAATTTCCCCTATTCTTCTCTGTGGATTTAATGTATATTTTCAAACATATTAGTTGGGATGTCACAAAATGAACCTAACTATGGCAAATTTCTGAAAGTAAATGTGTTCCAAAGTGGATTTAGGGCGGTTAGTTTATTTTCTAACTGTAGGAGGGTAGCTTTCTTGGGGAACTAGCTATGTGCGGTTCTGGTTTAGTCTTTGGAGTGGGAGTAGAGCTGACATCTTGTAAAGGGCAGGAATGGCCACTGAGCAGGTTTTCTAGGATCCTGCAGACCGGGTAAAGGAGGAGTCAGAGTCCTCAGTGGTTTTTTGCAGGTTTTTTATTGGGATTACCAGGTACACGGCAGGCAGGAGTACTGGGGGGGGCCAGGAGGCTGGCAGGCCTCCTAGCCCGCAGCAAGACTTCACTCTATCTGGGCTCTCCGGCCTTCTCTGCTTCTCTCTCGGCTTCTGTTCGTTCTTGGCTTCTGCTGGCGTCCCTGTGACACCGACCTTAAAAGCACAGTCTTAGCCCAGGTGAATCCCATCTACCTATGCTCACACCCTATTCCTGGTGCCCGCCATCAGGCGTGCACTCAGGATCACAGGGATCCATCATCTATCCTGATGGCAGGAGGGCAGAAAAGCCTGACATTTTTCCTTACCCTACACATCTGTACTAGAAAAGTAGGAACTGAGCAAGACATTTCCAGAAAGAAAGGCTCTTCTGCCCTACTTGGAAGTGACTTGAGGAAGCACCAGCAGTGGGCTGAGAAAGATTTGATATTTCATTTAGAACTCAGACCAATGAAACTCTAAGACAGTGAGGACTAAAGGACCCAGGAAGGCAAAAGGAAACTCATGGGCTTAAAACGGTAGGTTCTTCCTAGAACTTGCTTCATAGCATGCCCTGATGTTTGGAACTGAATCACAGCGGACATTTGGGGCCAGAACTGACCTGTCCACCGAGAACAAGATATCCTGATAGTACGGCAAACTAACAGACTTTTAAAATTTCTTTCAGAGCATAATTTCAAATAAATTAGCATTCTCATCTCAACTGACTCACATGGCAGAATCCAACCTACATGCTGTGAGAAGAACAAAGGTGGGAGAATAATTCAGAACAAATGGAAGAGGCAGGTGGAAGAGGCTGTGGATAGTAACAGCACCATTGAATGCTCCAGTTATGAAAAAAATACAGATTATAATGTTCAGAAATCAGAACTGTGAGAAGTCAGGCTGTTTCCCATCAAATCAGGTATAATAGTAATTTTTAATATTTTTGTTTTGTATCTAAGTTTCTTTCTACAGTTTAACTTGTCTCCATTTCTTCTGTCCTTTTAGGAAAAGATCATTGCAGAACTCATTGTGTAAGTTTTTCATATATTTGCAAAAGCCTATGAAATTTTATCCATGGTGATTTTTACTTCTAAGTTGAAACTTGTCTAGTCTTTCCTTATGGATTATGGCATAGAGTGCTAGTGACTTTCTGATATCCAGTTTTTCCTTCAGCTTGGTTTCTCAGCTATATGATTATATTTTTGAGTGTCTTGCAGTTATGTGTGGTCAAATGACTACACTTTTTTAAGCCAATGAGATGTAAACATTGCACTATGCCAATCTCCTGAAAAAAATTCTCCCTCCTTTTCTTCCACTCTGTTCTCTGGTAGTAGTCATCCTGGACCATGAGTTTGAGGAATGCTGGGTAATATGTCTGTTGACTGCTCCCCCGCACCCCAAGCACTAGATGATAAATTTCACGAGAGTGAGGTCCTTGTTCATCTTGGTCAAAGCAACATCCCGGCACCTAAAAAGTGTGTGGCAGGTGGTAAGGGCTCAGGTGTTGAATGGAATTCAATGAATAAAATGAATGAATTTATTTCAGAACCAAGTAAAAACCTAATCAGAAAATCCTCTCAGGCATACACAAGGTCTCAGGTTCTCTGAGTCAAACTCTTAATTCAAATCATATTCCACTTACTTGCTTCCCTTTGTTCTCCCAGAATTGCCAACGTCAGGGAAAGATGTTTTTTTTTTTCCTTAATTCTCTCCAGTGTTCTCTTCAAACAAAATGTTTTCTAAACAATATCAATATTTTTCTGCTAAGCAAGTTTAAAATTCTGTAATTTTTAAGAGTATTCCTATCTGTGTGTGTGTGTTGTTGTTGTTAAATGTGGGCATTATTTGGTAACTTAATATTAGGCATTGCCTCAAGTCTACAAGAATTATCCAAAATGGTATCTAATGACAGTTCTCAGATTTCAGGCAATATTATTGTCATGGAATGCAGTCACTAGGTTTTAAGGATTTCACTAGATATTTACTGAAACTGAGCTTCAATGAATCCTTTCCCATTCCACAGTGATTTGCTTATTTTTGTCCCCAGACCTTATTTATATCTTTAAAAAAATTAAATATTAAATATCCCTGCTTTCTAGATTTTTAAAGGGACCTTTTCCTGCTACTATGCTTTTAATAAAGGCGGGACACTGCCTCTGGATTTTTTATTTTTTTGGTCTTGTGATTAAAAGATTTGTAAAGTTTCATACTTTTTGCAATTACATGTCATTTTTTTCCTATTCACTTTTCCTCAAAAGTTGCTGCAATTCTTTTAACCACTTGGGGAAAGTAATTAGCTCTACCTGCTACCTTTTGACGTAACTATACTGGAGGTCTTTGGTTATGGCTCTTTTCTTCTTTTTTTTTTAATATTTATTTATGCATACAAGAACTGGGGAATGGGCCCAGGTGTATGTGTGGGGTGGGGGGTGAGAGGATTCACTGGAGACAGAGTGAGAAGCAGAACAGATAGATCTGAAATACACTACTGAGGGGAGCAGTGGGCAAGTCAGGAGAGGTCTGCTGCGCCATGGAGGTAGCTCCCTGGTGAGGACAGAACTCAGTGGCTGCAGACATCTTCGTAGGTTGCGTCTTAACCCTTTGCACCACCAGGGAGGCCCTGGTTATGGCTCTTCCAATCTTCCCACATCTTCAAGGAAAGATATTATTTGGTTTTTGTTAGGTATATGGAGCATTTTGAAGTGTATCCTTCTGTGCATGGTGTCCTTTCTGTCCCAGAGCAGCTTTCCAAACAGAAATCTATTAAAATAGAGTAAAATAGAGGTCATCAGATGAGCTTTTCCTAAACATCCCCTTTACCAGAAATGTCTCTATGACCACCCAGGTCCTTTCTCCTCCCTTGCTTTCCTCTCAGCACAAAGCTAATTTATGCCTGCTCTGGAGTGCGTTCACTCCTGCCTTCATGGAGAACTTGCTCCATTATTTCTTCTTTCTCTAACTTCCAACTTTATTTTTACTCCATTGACTCTTACCCTTTAACATGTAAATATACTCACTTTTTTTTTAATCTTAACAAAAAGCATCCTTCATTGTATGTCTCTCTTTTTAGTCAGATGTTTAGGAAGCCTCTCCTTCAGTTTGTCAAATTCACTCTTCTTTACTCACTGCCTGCCGTTCAGCTCACATCCACCGCCCCCCCCCCAACCTACTTGCCACAGTTAATAGTATTTGTAGATTTCCCTCCCTCCCCAATTATGTCCTGTTTAGGGAATTATGTCCTGAACTAGATGCTGCTGTTACAGAAATAAGAAGCAGATATGATCCCGCCTCATCTGATCGACCATTCCTGATCAATACTTCCCTTGTTCACTTTGCAGGCTTCACTTAAATGTCACTTAAATCTCCCTGTTCTCGAAGTCTCCTTTTTCTTTTTCTTTCTTAGTATACATATCTTCTCAAGGCAATCTCTCAGTGCCAGTGGTTTCAATTACTTTTATATATTCTCATGTCAACAAAACGTTAAGTGTTTTCATTTAAGTTTTACTTTATACTGGACGCCTCCTTTACTAAAGCTATAGATTGCAACTTGGTCCATGAAAGTAATCACTAAAAAATGTAATATTCTTAGTGATATTCCACTTGAGGAAATGTACCCAATTACTTTTTTGGGTTTGGTTTAATATGTGGGTTTTTTTAAAAAAAAAAAACAAAAAACATAAGTGGGGATAACACAAAACGGATTTAGCATACAGAGGTTTATCTCCCATGTTCAACCAGACAGTTCCATTTCCATGTTTCACTTACCAGAGCCCAAATATATTCCTCTTCTTCCATTCTCTATCTAGGAGAAAGTAAGCCACCACTCTCCACCCAGTCACCAGCCAGAACTCCACCCAGGGGTGGAGGCAGAATTTGATTCCATAGTGCCCATCTGGCCTCCCCTCTGACAATTTCCAGCCACCAAGGACTTCTGTTCTCCCTCCCAAATGCTCTGGAATCCTTTCCCCTCTGTTACTTCCACTGCCTTTAATTGGAAGCCTCATTCTTCTCTTGGATGAATAATAAGTGTCTGTCCTCTTTGTCCAGAGTTGATCTCACTGCGGACCTGACTCAACTGCACTTCACACCACTCAACTGGTCTCATGTTTCCAAGGCAAAAATCAAACTCTTCACACCAGCATCCACATTTTAGTAGAAAGCTCAACCTAGGTTCCATTCACACCTAGGTTGGAATCCCAGATGTAAACACTTTCCAGCAGTGTGACCTCTGACAATCTGTGGGTCTAAGACTTTGTTTTCTCATCTGTCAGTGCTCAAGGAGGGCAGGAGTGTTTCACACCGAGCGTGCCTGGTGCACGGGGGAACTTCATGTTGAATAAAAGGGAAACATCTTAAAACCCACATCAAAAAGTTGTCCTAACTTTAAAGAAGAAAATCCTGACACACAATGTCACTTCCTCCCAAGTTATACTTCTACTTTGTTTCCTGATAATCACGATAGAGCGGTGGGGATCCAGACTATGCGGAATCAAATCCTGCCTCCACCCCTGGGCAAGCATGTGACCTGGGGTAAGTTATTGAAGTCCTGCGTCGCAATTTCTTCAACCGAAAGATTATTGAGGGGGATTAAATGAATTCCTCGCTTGGCACCGGGCCCGGCGCATAGAAATCCTGCCGAGTGTTTACCGTCATCTTCATCAAATCAGGACCTCGGCACCCCATTTTGTGGTGCTCAATTTTGTTCGAGAAAATCGTGTTTTAGTCGTTGTTGGCGCAAGAAGGAAAACCTGGAAGCCCCCTCCTGGAAGGGAGAAGCAGGGAGGAAAATCGAGCTGGTGCATCCCAGCAATTCCGAGCTGGGCGGGACGAGTTCGGTCCCTTCCGACTAACGGGGACGTGGCGGGGTGACTTGTCCCAGCCCAGACTCACCGCCACAGCCCTTTTTTAAGCGTAGGACCGGGGCCTCGGGGCGGGGGGCGGGGGGTTTGCCGTGCTCAAGTTGCGGGTGACCCTATTCACACTTTTCGGGGGGCGGGCGAGGAGGAGCATTTATTCAGGGAAACGGTCAACGTTACTCAGGGGCAGCTAAGTTCGGGGGGCAACCCATCAGACGAGTCAGCTGTCGGACCGCGGGCAACCGAGCGGCTCACCAGCTCGGGTCTTCGCCGGCCCCGGCTTTCCGAAGAGCCCGCCGAGCCGGGGCGACTTTGACGCGCCACGGCCCGCCGCGCTCCCCGCCCGACCCGGGGCTCGGGGCTGCCGCCGATGAATGGAAACCCGAGTCCCCAGCGCGCGCGCGGCGCGAGGGGCGGAGCCGCCGCGGGCCGGGGGCGGGGCATGGCGAGTCACGTGCGCGGGCGGCGGGGCGGGCGCGTGCCGGGGGCTCCAGGCGCTGATTGGCCCCCGGCAACCAGGTGACCTCGGGGCGCGCTCCGGTTGGTCTGCGCGCGCCGGGCGAGCGGCCTTCAGTTCGGGAGGCGGCTGCGGAAGGAGGAGGAGCCGCGGCCGCGCTCTCCCCGGGCAGTGGCTGCGCCGCGCCGCGTCCGCCGGGTCCCCACCCCTTTTAAATAAGCCGGCCTGGTCGCCGCCCTGACAGACTAGTTGGCTCGGGGGAGGTGGCGGCGGCGCGGCAGCGGGGGTGCGGCCGGGGCCGGAGCCCTGCCCGGGCCCGGCGGCGGCGGCGGCGGCGGGGCGGACCGCGGGCGAGGGCGAGCCTGCGGGCGGGCGCGGCGCTCCCCCGGCGCAGCCCGGGGCCGCCCGGGGCCGGCCTCGCCATTGTTGGGGGAGGGGGCGGCGGCTGAGCGCGGCGGAGTCGGGGGGCCAGCGCGGCCGGCCGCGGCGGCGGGGAGCGCGGGCGCCCCATGGGGAACGCGCCGTCCTGCTGCGTGTCCCCCAATGCCAGCCCCAAGCCGGGCCGGCGCGCGGAGGCGGCCGCGCCGGACTCCGAGGCGGAGATCTACGAGGCGGCGGCCGGGGACGCGGTGGCCGTGGCGCCGGCGCCGGCTGCGCTGGAGCCGGCCGAGCTGGACCTCGGGGCGGGCGAGGGCCACCACCTGCAGCACATCAGCGACCGCGAGATGCCGGAAGGTGAGAGGCGCCGCCGGCCGCCCGCCCGCCCGCGGGGCCCCCGGGAGGGCGAGCCCCGAGGCGGCGTCCCCGGAGCCGAGCCCCGGGGTCGGGGCGGCTCGGCCTCGGGGTCCCCACCCCGCCTCGCCCCCGTCCCGGTCCCCGTCCCCGTCCCCCTCCCTCCCTCCGCGGCGGCGGCGCTGGGCCGGCCTCTCCCGGGCTCCCGCCGAGCCCGGGCGCCCGGTCCGCCGCCGCCTCGAACTCCCCTCAGACCCGGTCTGAGACCCTCTGCTTGCCCGTCCCTCGGGACGGGAGACTTTCCTCGTGCATTCTGTCCTTTTTCTCCACGAAGAGCACCCCAGCTGCAGAGTGCGCGCCCCCCCTCTCCTCTCCCTTCTCTATGCAGTTGGCAGCCAGGTGAGGCCACCAGGTAAGGGCTGCATGGCACCTGCCTCCCCGCCCGTTAGGTGCTGGGCGCTTCGCGGCGATTGAGACGCAGATGTTTTAGGGTTTATTAAAACTCAGAGTGGAGAGGGACTTAGCACTCGGTGTCTGAAAGTCGGCTGATGTTTCGGTCGCCTCGATGAAAGCTGCTTTATTCCTCCCAGTTGTACATTGAGCACGGGTAGAAAGGAAATGGTGGGAGAGGGGACTTTAAATGCTTTTGAAGGGGGTGAAATGTTAGTGCCAGGGCTGCAGAGAAAGAGCTTTTAGATTTTTTTTTTTATTTATTTAATTCAAAGGAGAACCTGCGGGGAGTTGTGATGACTTGAAAATACTCGCTTGAAAACCCAGATGTCTTCAGTCCTGCTTCTGGGTCTTAACAGACCGCTTAAAAGGAGGGAGGTGGGGTGGTTCGCGAGACATTTGGTCAAAAGTTTCAAAAGAGAAAAAACAAGAACGTGTCTCCAAGTCTCCTTCCGACACCCCCCTCCGCCTCTCCCCTCTCCCCGCCGAGAATCCCGTTCAGCTCTGAGAACGCTGTTCGTCTGACAAAACGGCCAGGTCGTGGCGAGGGGAGAAGAGAGGGCGAGGAGTGTCTTGATTTTTTTTTTTTTTTTCTCTAGAATTTTGGAAAGGGATGACTAGGTAAAGATAATTCTGGGTAATGACGTGGCTCTTTAATGAAGACTGTTCTTTGAAGTAGAAAACATTGTATCATGAAAATGTCAAAGCTGGAATGTCCCGTTTGTTTGATTTCTATGCCAGAGATGATTTCATTACTATAGAGGAAATGGCTCTCCTTTTTAAACTTCGGTTGGGTTTTTTAATTATTTCTTTTTTTTAAAATTTAGAATATTTAGGCCTGTGCATTCACCGATCTGATGGACATGGATTTGTAGTTGGGAGGTTCTCATTTTTCAGGATAGACAAATACTGTGAAAGAATAAATTATGTAAGTTAATTGCTTGCACCTTTAAACACAAAGCGTTGCAAACTTTTGCTCATTTTGGTGCTGTAAAGTAAGTCTCTTACGATTTTGTCAGCTAGTTAGTAAATGGGTAGTGTTAGATGAGAGACCAAAACAGTTCCTTTATATAATTCTTTTTTAAGATTTACTACACATTTTCATGTATCTCTCGTCTGGCCCTTCCAACTACAAATAAGACCACCTATGTTCTCCCTGTATTACTTACTGATAAAGAAGCTGCGACTTAGATCTGAAATAACTATAACAACTTCTGAACAGAAGAGACTGACACAGAAGCTGGTAGATACACATAATCTGTTCTTCGGGTGCTTAAAAACTCTGTAAAGAGTGCATCTTATGCTTTATAGTTTATCCATAAAGTAGACTTATCTCAGAACTTACTCTCCAGGCTTGATTATTTCCATTCATAGTTTATTTTGGACTACTTACATCCTGTATACATTCATTATAATGGGTAAGAATAAAAAGTAGTGGTGATGAAGTAGTCTGAGTTGACCAGTCAGTAAGTGGGTTGATATATTTTAAAGAGTTTGTTCTCCTGACCTCAAATTGGAGTTAAGAATGTCCTGAACTTGGGCCTCCCCGGTGGCGCAGCGGTTGAGCGCTGGGTTGCGAAGCTGCCCACGGAGGAGGGTCCCACATGGCGTGCAGACCTCTCCTGCCGCCCGCTGCTCCCCTCAGCAGTGTACTTCGGTCCTTCTGCCTGTTCTGCTCCCCGCTCTCGCTCTGGTGAATTCTCTCACCCTCCGGGCTTCTGACTGGACCCAGTGCATGTATAAACAAACAAACAAACAAATAAATAAATAAAAACATGCCTCTATAAAAAAAAAAAAAGAATGTCCTGAACAGAGGGACTTTTAAGAGAAACTGGTAAGAGGGCAGGTAAGGTACCAAGCATAAAGCGTTGGGTTATGATAAATCAAAAAGTTGAAAAAAATAAAGTTCGTGAGTACAGAAGTTACCTTTTTGTTTAGCATGATAATTAAATTTTATTTTAATTTTTCTTAAAAATCTTTGGCATTCAATAAAGTGATAAGAAAAACCTCAATTTCAGCATTTGTCTATTAAGTTTCCATAGAAACAAGTCAGAACGCCGAATTTAAAGTGCAGCACGTGGAAAGTTTGCTCTCAATATCTTTATTTCAGGCAATTTTATATCCGTTTCCCTGGAAACTGAGAAATAAAAAAACCTACTTAAATGTAAAACATTTTTACTTTTCTACAATGAAGAATTGTTTGGTTACTTAGACAAAATCATACATAAATGATGCTCTGCTTTGTTCATTCTGAAACATTTCAGAAAAACCTGGCTTCTTCAAGCGATTTTTTCAAAGAGATATTCCTACGAACCTAGTATAGATTTCAGATAGACTCAAAAGTATTTTTCTTCCTTGCTTTTTTCTTAACAGTATATCTGATATAACTGACAGTGGTATTTTTGACACAAACTAAGATACTGAAGACTTCTTTTCCAATTTTATTATTACTCAAAATTTCCAATAGACTTTTATGTGCTAACCTTAGGAACTTTGCTAATTTATTGACTAAAGGTACTCTCAAATATCCCTTTCCCCTACCTCCTGAGACATGAGGGCAGGGAACGAATTGGCAGTATGATCTGGAAAAAGCTGAGCAACAGAGCTCTTTCCAGTAACTATCCTAAATCTTTTTTTTTTTTTTCCTTCTTTTAAAGATTTATTTATGCATACAAGAACTGGGATACAGGCCAAAGGTGCAGGGGGTGAGAGGATTCACCAGAGACAGAGCGGGGAATAGAACAGGCAGACTGACTGAAATACGCTGCTGATGGGAGCAGTGGGCGAGACAGGAGAGGTCTGCTGCGCCATGTGGGTTGCTCCCTGGCGGGGATGGAACTCTTGCTACAGAGGCTGCGAATAGCTTTGCAGTGCTGTGCTTAACCCTTTATGCCATCAGGGAGGACCTTTTTTTTCTTTCTTGATGATACTATTAAACATTTGAGGTAAACAATTTAGAAAATTTTAAAAAGTCATTCATGCATATTCAGAATATGCAGAACCTCTAATGTTCTGGTGTTCTTCTTCCTGAACCTTTGTATGTGTATGAAAATAGCATTTTGTTTATTTTACAAAAATGGGTTTGCCCTATATGCAGCTTTTATAAGTTTTGTTTTTTTGTTTAAAGCGATGACTGGGGTACAGGCCAAAGGTTCTTAATACCTAGCAAATTCCCCAGGATGTATTCCCATGCTAATGCTTATCTGTTACATGCCTTTTAATAACTGTTTTCTGAACCATCAGATGGTTCAGTCATCATTTACCCACTCTTTTTAGTTTGGTGTCTTTTATAGTAAAACCATATACACTACCATGACAGTACTTTTATTCTGGGCACATTGATTAAAACTCATGAGTTATACCTGCCTATAGAATTCAAATGCTGTACTTACTTTTTCTTGTAACTTTTGTTCACGGGCTTAGTCATTTTGTAATCAAAATGACTACCCTGAATTTTCTTATCCTAAATTAAAGATTTTATTGGTTTTTATCTGAACCATAGAGTACCTTTTTTAGGTTTTTGTGGTTCTTGATAGTAGCCTGTCTCACTACCACTCTTAACAGATCTGAAAGTTTTAGATGACAAATCAAAAGATAGCATTAGAAGACATCTTAGGCAATAAAAGAAAATTGTGGGAAACTTAACTGACTTTGAATGCACTGAAATGGCTGTTTATTGAACATTGTTCCAGGTGCAGAATAGACTGAGGTGTTCAAGACAAAGCCTCTACCCTATCCAAGGTGCTTGTATTCTAGAGGGAGCTTAAGAATAGAGAAGGCATAAATTCTCAGTGTCAGGTAATGAGGTGCTGGGAAGAAAATAGAAGAAGGTAATGGACTGGGAAGGAGGGCAGTTTTACATGGGCTGATTAAAGATGGCTGTTCTCCTTAAATGGCATGTGAGCAGGCCAAAAAGTGAGCGGGAACTATGTGAGAATGTGGGAGGAGAGGTTTTCATGCAGAATTACTCATATGGGAATGTGGTTATGTGTGGGTTAAGACAACTGGGTTAGCTGCAGCAGAGTAAAAAGGATTCCAGGAGGAATAGGTAGAATCTCCCACTTGTATGCCTAGTGGGCCTTTGACAGGAGAGCTGGATTTTAGTCTTAACTGTAATGGGAAAGCACTGGAGGATTCTATGCAAGGGGGGGGGGGTGATGCTTATTCTTTAGGGGGAAAAAATCAGACTAGTTACTTTGTGAGAATAAATTGTAGTACAGGCAAAGCTGGAAGTAGGAGGCCAATTAGGAGGCTGGTGCAGTGGTTCATGTGAGAGCCAATAGTGGTTTGAACAAAAGACTACGAGGATCTAAAATATAAGCTGATATGAAGAAATTCAGTGAATCTAAAAATAGGTAACAAAAACAGACAAGTCACAGGAAGAAATGCAGATGACCCTTAACATGAATTCACACACAAATGCAAAATAAAACTATACTCTAGTTTTCTTTCTTGAAACTTGACACATCATTTCTTTGGTGCTGGTGGAAATGTGAAATGGTTTGACTTCATGAAGGGGAATTTGGCACAGTTTCACAACACTACAGATACAT